GGTGCTTTGCCCCCTTGCTCCCATTTCTTTCACTGGAACTTTTCTTCCCAGAACAATTTTCTTAATTTTATTCCCCTTGCCAGCTGCCTCCTTTCCTGGAATTTAACGTGCAGTATCATTGAAGCTGAGTACAAGAGACACCACCTAACACAGCTCTGAGGTGAATAGGATAAACCTTTGAAGGAGCTCAATGACTGTCAAAAGAACCTGTCCCCTTTTGGAGGGCTTGACAAAAAGTAATTAAAATACTGAAAGCAGTGGCAGAAGTGAGGTTTTTAAGAAACCTGATTGCATATTGACAGAATTATTTAACACAGTTCAGTAACCCCTGGTGACCCAGCTGGTCTGAGGCTCGGCCGCCTTTTTCATTTGCAGAGGACCCGGACCACGGCCAGGCCCCCAAATTGAGGTTAGTGGTACCCCTCTCCAGGGGTGCGCAGCCTGCAGGGGGCTGGATTTGGGGTGGCGGAATGGCAACAATTTGATGATTCAGACCGAATGGTGAGTCCATCTCTACTTCAGACTTACTCAGAGGTGCTCGACTGAGCCCCAGCTTCAGTGCCTGGGGCGTAACGGGAAGGGAAAGCATAGGTGAGAGGTGTGGTCCGTTCGCTTTGCACCTTCTAAAGTCAGCCCAGTGCCAAAGACACCGCGGTGAGAAAATGGGTGCGTGCCGTTGCCCAATGGGAAGGATTTGCTGGATTTGGCTTTAGGCGCAGGGATAACGGGAATGTGAAAAACAAGGGATGGAGGGAGGGGAGTTACTGGATTCGGCTGCAGGACGGTGGTCTGAGACCCCAGGCCACTCTCTTGGTCCCGCTCTAGAACAGGCCCGGGGAGTGTGGGTGGAAGGTAGAGATGGTTGGATCCTGGGGTACAGGGTACGACTTGAATTCGTCTTCATACTGAGGGTCTAGCACGGTGCTCAGGGGCTGTCCCGGCCTCCGAAGGGAAGCTAGGAGCCAGCCCCAGGCGGGGCAGACCGCCAGGTCGCATCCAGACGCGGCAGGGGACTCAGTGTAGGGACGGATCTCCAGGCTTGTACAGAGACAGGGTGCCGCGGGGCTGGGATCGAGCTCTGGGCAAAACCGAGAGCACAAATGCCGGCCGCATCTGGACACTGCCGACCCAGCCCCCTGCAGCCGGCCTCGGGGGAACCAGGTAAACCATCTCGAGCTCCTCATTGGACAAAGGCCCTTGTCCATCACTGAAGGATCGCGACGAGACGAGCCGGACATCCGGGAAGACGCATCTCTGCGCTAAGTGAGGGGAGGGGGAAACGACGCAGTGCCCAATGGCAAGCAAAAGCTTCGCTTCCGCAGAAGATTGGCAGGTGCTCGAACCACTGAGGCACCGCGGAGGGATACCGGGCGTGGAAAATAATGCTTCCCTTCTGTGGCACGTGTGCGTGTTTTCTGTTAGTATTTGAAATGAGAGATTAATTACCACGTAAATGCAGTTGTGCTGTGGGAGGCTGTTTTTCTAACTAGTATTTTGGCTTTCAGCTCGGGTTCCCGAATTTGGTAGTTTCTGAAATTATCTAGATCCTCAGGTGCCCCTTGGTGAGGCGCCCCCTTCCCTATGAAGGATTAGAGCTGGACTAACCCGCGCCGGGCCGAAAATGGTGGCCAAAATCATCGGCAATGTGCGCTGCTGGGTGAATGAAAGCCAAGATCGAATGGATGATAGTCAATAGAAAAGAGGAAGAGAAAGAAACGGACAGTTTTCAGGGGGAAAAAATGTTTCCAGGAACCCTTAAACATTTGAATGGATGTTCAACCTTTTTGATACTAAGAAAAGTGCAAGTTAAAACCCCTAAACTAACATTTCTGACCTATCAGACTGGTAAAAATCCAGAATTTAACAAGGTACTTCATTAAAATCACCATAGAATCTGGCGCTGTAATACATTACTGGTGGAGTACAAATTGGTATGGGGGTGGAGGCTGGGTAAGTAATATTACAAAATAACATGTCAATTTAGCTTTGAACTAGCAACCCATTTCCGGGAATCTACCCTGAAAACGCACTTCCACAGACAGGTGGAAAACTTCCACAGTTTTATTCATTGTAGTAGTATTTGAAATAGCAAAAGATGTCTCTTAATAGGGAAATGGCTGAATAAACTTCAGGGCATCAGCCCTGTATGGTAATATTATACAGCAGAATTTGCAGCGTGAAAACAGGTGAGGAAGCCAACAGGTGAGGAAGCCAGCAGGTGAGAAAACAGGTGTTTTCTATGGAGCGATCTCCAGAGACATTGTCAATGGGCGGCTACCTTTAGCAAAAGGAAGGGCGAAAAGGCCCAAACCAAACTACTAAAAATGGTTTACTCAGAAGGAGACGTGGAGGTGGGGGAGGGTCTGGTGGAAGCCTGGGGGCGGGGGATTAGAATACAGTGATAGTACCGATGACCGTTAGAGAAAACAGAAGTGCACAACACAAACATCTGCGACAATGGCAGTTTGCTCAGCTCAGCCCCTGCTCTCCAGGGACCCAGGACTAGACCCCGGAAGGACAGGCATGCTTGGCTGGGTGAGCCTCAAGCTACCTATAATGGGACCTTGCTGCACACTGGGCTGAGGGTATCTGGAGGGGACAAGGGGAGAAAAGAAACGGCTTTCACCGGCTTCAAGTTACTACTCTCCTTGCACAGCGAGAAGCAGAGCCTGGATGTGGGCCGCTGCAGACGGCTGTGGGGCCCGGCCGCGCCGGCCGCCAGGCAGCTGCTGCTCAGGAGGAGCAGGGCCGCTCGCAGCTGTTCTCCAGGGCCTGATTCCACACACGTGACGCCGTGGCTTCAGAACAGGGGCCCCATGGTACAGTTGACGTCTTCCAGGCCCGGACAACTGCCCAGAAGATAGACTTTGTCAAACGGTGAGTACAGGGAGGTCCTTCGGACAAATGTATGTTCTTATAATCAAATCGGGGGAGAACAAAACAACCGCAATGTGATCTGTCCTTAGGAAAACGATTTACGTTTCCAGAGTTAACAAAATCGAAAACAAGTCAAAATCAGCCAAAGAGTGGAGAGCAGGCTGGGGGCACGGAGCGCACAGCAAGCTTGCCCTTAGCTTTCGTCTGCTCTGACAGCTGCTTAGAGCGCATGTTTTCTCAGTACGGCCAATCAGAAAGGCTGTTACTGAAGGACAGGAGGTAAGGAGACACCTAATTTTGTCCAGATGATGGCAGTTAACAGGCGCTTGGAGGGAAGGAGGAGGTCCGGAAAAGCCTCGGGCCCAGAGAGTTTGGTGACAGAAACAGACTGTCTGGGGACACGGTTTGTGGCCCACTGGAGGTGTGTGATGGGTGACAAGCCACTGCTATTTGTGTAGGCACCTCTGGAGTAGGGTGCTGACTGGAATGTGCAGAGTGTGTGCGTGGAGGGTGTGGGCGTGGGAACTTGGAGGCTCTGAGTGGCTCTCTTTGCTGGTGGGGCCTGAGCCCTGAGGCCTCTGAACCTCCAGCCCTGGAGACAGTTCACCCCGGTTGGCCTCTGTTCGCCCCTGTGGCTGGCCCTGTGTGGCAGTGACACGCTGGGGGTGGCCGCCACAGCCCGCCTTGTGGAAGTCTTACCTCTGTTTACTCCCCCCACTCCCCGTGCCTGCTGTTTCTTTCTCCCTGACCTTGGGCTTTTTAGAGGCTCTAAAGACGTTAATTTGTTCTCCCCTCAGCAGGTGGGAACAAACAGGGTGTTTCTCATCTTGGTTTCAAATTGCAGGGTGGGGATGTCATCTCCTGGTTGTGTGTTAAGTTCTCACCATCAACTCCAGGAAACTTGTAACAATGAGTTTGAATCAACAAGTACATTTTTTTTTTAAAGGCGCTTTAGTTTTCTTGACCCGTAGCAATACTGGTATCTGGGGGGACATAGGGGTGTCAGTTTGAAATGGATTTTAAGAGGACTCCCTAGCCACGAGTGGACTCGAGGGGGGTCCCAGCGAGGCAGATGAGGCGACAGGAGCGGTACAAACGGAAGGGGGTGCTTGTCTGGAAATGGCATCGGAGCCCCCCGCAGTTGCCAGCGGGGCTTCCTGGGAACTTCAGAGGTGCAGGAGAGTGTCGAGTATGCCAGGTACTTCAGACACTGGCTTCCACGTCCCTGGCAGGTGACAGTGATCCTGGTGTCTATCCAGGACCCCCCCCACCCCTCCTTACAGAGCCCAGTGGGACCCAGTTACCCTCCTCTGAATGACCACGTGTTCAGGGGACCTGGCCGCTTCCCCGGGCATCTCAGCCAGCCACCGTGGGCCGTGCTGGTGACCCGTTGAGGCACGGACACATGATGTATTCTGGCTAACTGGTACGTGAAGGGAAGACCAGTTCCCTCTCTCCTGGAGACACAAGCAAGAGATGATGACCCTTTCCTGCTTCTGGACATGACACCTGAACTCCTAGGCCCATCTCGCAACCACGAGGAGAGGTGGCCGTGACAAAAGCCCGCAATGCAAGGGAGGTGGCGCCCAGTCACAGCCTGGGCCCGGCCTCCCCGGACCTGCAGCCATTCCGCCGAGGGCCCCTCGGAGACCTAGTGCAGGAGGCAGTTCTGAGCAGCCTCCAGCAAGGAGGGTCTGGGAGAGGGAGCGGGACGGGGGAGGGAGGAGCGGAAAGGGATGCACGGAGCCAGGCAGCGCCGGCTCCACAGTGCAGCCTGGACATCCTCCCGGCCACCGTGTGCCCCGGGGGCAGGAGGTAGCACGGCCGAAGGGGTCCCTGAGACCCCCGAAAGGGAACAAACAGTTCTTAAATCCTACAAGTTTTTAAAAGCATGGCAAAAAAGATAAAAATACATGTTCAAAAAAGTAAAAAGCACTGACAGCTGGATATAACAGCAGGCCCAGCAGCGCCCCTGCTGTACGCATTGTCGGCAAAGAAGCCCAAGGGGTCCCAGCGCCAGGGGCGGGGGCCCGAGAGAAATGCCAGCGAGGATGAGATGCTGGAGGGAGGGTGGCCGTCCCCATCGTCGCCAACTTCAGGGGCGCCCAATGCCATGGCTTCTTTTAATTCTGTTTTGGTTTAAGTTTTCAAAAAATATATTTTATTTATTTTTAGCTAGAAGGGAAGGGAGGGAGAGAGGGAGAGAAACATTGATGTGCAAGACAAACATGGATCAGTTGCCTCTCGTATGCACCCCATCCAGGGACCTGCCTCGCAACCCAGGCACGTGCCCTGGCTGGGAATTGAACCGGCGGCCTTTCGCTTTGCGGAATGATACCTGGCCCACTGAGCCACACCGGTCAGGGCTGATTTAGTTTTATTTCAGCAAATAAGTATTTATAAGAACTTCATGGGTTCCCCCTCGCTCAGTTGGCTATGAAATTTTCTGCCCGTGGGGTGATCAGAAACAAGGCCTGAGCCGCACAGAGGCACCCCTGTGATTTCCGACGTCACGCACTCACCGATGCACAGGAACGCGCTGCTCTCATACGGTGTCCCAGGCCCTGGCCCGTGAGGTCATTCTGGCGTTTTACCGACTGCGGCTGGCGTGGTTCCCCTCCCTGCACACGTGCCCGTCTGCTCCGAGGGACTCTAACCTTCCTGAAGGTGGGCACTGTGCCCCACAGTTTCGTCCTTCTGTCTGTAGGGCCTCGCATAGTTCTAGGTGCGTCATAAGCACTCAGATAAGCCTTAATTGTGTGTAAAGTAAGTCTTATGTTTAAATGAAACTCTTAAGAGGGGCTTAACTTGGGTAGTTGTTTTGTTCCAGGATGGAAGGTGAGATTGAATTAGCCTTTTTGCTAAAAGGGTGCTCCCCTGCTGCTGGCTTCATACAGTTACAGAACCTTCCAGAAATCCTCCTAAGGCAGAGCGAGAGCGTAGTGTTATTAGACAGGACCCAGGCCGCAGGCCCTAATGTTCGTCTTCCCCCCAGCACCCTGCATCCCTTCCGCAGCATGTTCTGGGGGCTGTGCCTTCAAATCGTCCCTCCCAGGCTGCCACCTGCCCTGGGTCTGTGTGGAAGAGGTAACTGGGATCAGAAGACAGCCTTGGAGGGGAGCCTCGCCCGCAGGCAGAAGCCAGAGAAGTCTGGGACCATCCCCCCTGAGGACCGAAGTCCTGATTCCTGTAACGTGATACAGAAATTGCAAGAACTGAGCAAATCTGTGTATCAGGTACCTCTGCGTCTCTACATCTGTGGGTATAAGATTACATGAAGACTACAGAAGTCTGAAAGTAACCAGGGCTGGGGTCACGGGTCAGGGCAGAGTCACGGCGCAGCAGTTGTGGACGTCGCGCTGGGCGGCAGGGGTGGTAGCCTACATGTCGTAGAGCCTGAGCTGCTCTTGCACGTCGCCGTCGGACATCTCGCCGAACGTCTCCTTGTTGTCCTTCATGAGCTTGAAGATGGCCGCCAGCTGTTCTTTCTGAACTCTGTTGAGAAGAAAGGATACAGTGGAAAAAGATGCTCCTGACCCCAGGTTGGGGGAGAGAGCGAGATGCCGGGAGCCTCCAGTGGAGTCGGGATGCTCCTCTCCTGGGCTAGTGCCTTAGCTTTCCAGGACAAGAAGAAAACCAGACTCAAACACAACTCACTCAAAGCACAGGAGCTGGTTCTAAAACTGGAGTTCTAAGTATTGGGTTTACCCTGGAGATTTGGGGACCCCCAAGTTATCGCTCAAGTTTTCAGAACTTGTTTCCCATGACCCCCTTTTACTGTTGGCCGTACATCTCAGGAAGGGAGGCGGCAGAAGGTGGGCCCCACTGGTGGCCAGCGGTTCTGTGCGGAAATGTGTTAGAGATGGTCCTGGTTTAGAGACATGAGCAAAGAGTAGAGGAAAGGAAACGTTATGGGCTGGGAAACAGGGGAGCTTCTGAGCGCGCTTGGCCCAGGGGCAAAGGTTGGGGGTGGGGTTCCGCTGCCCAGATGGAGGGGCGCCTTTTTCTAATTAGCAGAAAGACACCATGTGGCCGGTGGGTCCCTGCCTCCCTGCCAGGGAACAGGCCCGGCTGGAGATAAGTGTTATCTTTATGAGGCTCAGCCACAACACCTGGCCAGCGCAGGACGATGCCCACAGGTGCAAACATGAAGGGGCGAGGTGACACTTCAAGGGAAAAACCCGGACGGTTTGGTCCTGGCCTGTTCTGCCCTGGTTGGCTGGGCTGCCGCGGGGCTGGGCCCTGTGTGCCGGGCCCGCCCTCAGTCTGGCTTTAGGCTTCTGCACGTCCTCCCTCTGTGCCGCGCCACAGGCCTGGCACCGGCCACTGTTAGAGGGTGTCAGCCCGACAGCAGGGTGGGACCTTCCGCCCCTCCCCGCAGCCAGGCTGCAGTGGTCACGGCAGGCCCAGCAGGGCAGCCTGCGGCACAGCCTCCGGCCGCCGTGGCCCTGATGCTGCCCGGGCAGGAGGTGTCCCGCTGTCTCGCCTGACACAGTCCTAACACAGTCCTGCGGCAAGAACCCCACTTCCCACACCCAGCAGTTGGTTTTCTGACTAGAGTGGCACCTCCAGGCAGAAGTACGCAAGTCCCAAACCCCAGCCTCTCTTTGTCACCCTGGGAAAGTTATTTCTGTCTGGAGGAGCAAGAGCCTATGATAAGCACTCTACTGTCTGAAGGAAGGACAGTACTGGGGATGGAAAGGGTGTGTGCGCAGCTCCTTGGATGGACTCGGGGACCGGATGAGCGCGTGGGCCCCCCCCCCCCACCCCCCGTGAGCACGAATTCTCTCCTGTGTTCAGGCGGCCCGGACACTTGCGTCTTTTTAACGGGGGGATGTAGGACTTCCGACTCTGCCAGAGAGTACCAGGCATCAAAGTGAAAGAAAGCACACATTTTAAGGGGTTTAGTTTGTTTTTTTTAAAGCAAAAGTAAAAAAAAAACACAATAATCGAGACCATCTACTCAGAGTTTATTGGACTGATCAAAGGCTGAAAACACAGATCCAGGCCATCAGAGTATGTGAGGCTTGGTGCCTACGTTCAAAAAGTTTCCAGGCAAAATTAGATTACTAACCTGGAGGGGGTCACCTGCTTATTGTATCAGTAAGAGCCCAGCCTGGACAGGGACATGGGTCCTGCTGTGTGGGGACAGGGGCGCTCACAGGAGTACACCTCCTCCTCTACGTGGCTGTGGCTTTGTTGCCCGTTCCGCCCGAGGCCCCTAGGAACAGAACACGCCCTAGAGGTTGACATTGGACATCTCCCAGCCTGCCATCAAGTGGAAAATTTTTTCTATAAAGTCACTGCTTTAAAAAATGCTCTAACATCTAAAAACTGTAGGCTCGTTTGGCATAGTATAAATATTGTCAAATATAAAATTCCAAGAGTATCTACTGAAGGGCTAACTCATCTCTGAAACTTCCTAGGAAAAAGCATCATCGGGAAACCTGTTTTAAGCAAACACTGTTATTATTGCTTTGGCCAAAGCAAAGGTGGAGATTTGGCTGAGCCAATCCGGACACCAGGGAAAAGGCCTCTCAGCAGCAGGGGGCTTCTCTGAGCCCCTCTGCAGGGGAAACAAGGGTCCTGCTACATCAATAGGCAGCTCCGGCTCCTTGCCGCCTGGCCGTCAGCATAGCATCTCCCACGCCCAAGGACCAAACCAGACAGAGCAAGAGGGGAGTGGCCCCAGGTGGGGGGTGGGGCCATGGGCTACCGGTGACCCAGCTCTGTCCCCTTTGTCCCTCACACCTCAAAGTCTTTCAGGATTGGGCTTCAGTGAAGGAAAAAGCAGAAGGGCTGGAGTACACCTACACCACCGTCGTAAAAACGATGGAGTGCACCCCGTGGCGTGCTCAGGTGTGGAGGGCAGGGGGCGAGAACAAACTCTTAAAACCCGGCAGCTTAGCAAAGCGGTCCGCCCAGACAAGGAGGAACGCCCCGGCCCCAGGAGAGCGGAGGCGTCCCCCAGGGTCCCTCGGCCAAGGGGATGCCCTGCCTGAGGGCCTGCGGCGCGGCGCTGCGCAGGCGCGAGGCACCCTGGGAGCCTGCAAGGCTGCCGTGCGGGGGGTTCGTTCTGTCTCTCAAGCCTTTAAGATGCCAAATGGAAAAGCCTTTGGGAGGGCGCTAAGGGTCACTTCGTTACTCTTCAGTTCTGTAAAGAGAAATGGGGAGAGAAGATCATGGGTTTCACTCGTCCATCCCGTGAGCACCATGGTGGGGGGGGGGGGAGAACGGATGAGGGAGGAGAGCGGTTGGAGTTGCAGAAGCCGGCTGGGCGCTGGCTCTCAGACACGCGGGTGCTTCACACTCATCACCCTCAGCAAGGCAGCCTGTCCCACCGCGCCTGCGGGCCGCCCAGGGGAGCCTGTGCAGGAGCCCAGCAGCCTGCGGCCCCCATCCCAAGTCTGCGTGGCAGCTGGGTAATTAGGGCAGAGCCTACATTTAGGTGGTTAGGCAGGCCGGGCACGGGACACTTCGACCTTGTGGCTGTGCTGGGATGGTCTTGTCACTCTAGATTATTTCCTGTTCCCGCTGGTCTCATGCCCCTCCACACGAGGCCAACAGTGTCCCCCCTTTTCTAAACGACACCCCCGCCCCCCCGCCCCGCAGAACGCAGGGATTCACTTTTGTGCGTCTGGCGCCCTCTCCTGGAGGTCAGAGTCAGCGCGTGTTTTTAGAAACGGACCCTGGCGGATGTCGGCAGCAGGCACTAGATCATCCCACAGCCAGGGCCTCTCTGCCTCTTCTCACCCTTGCCCGTTATGCCACGCGGAACGCCTTCCACTAGCATCGTGTCCGTCAGTCCTGCGGACCTTCAGAATGGAGCGGGCGCTGGGGTCCCGGCCCCTCAGCTGTCAGAGCCCGCCTGGAGTGCGGCCTGGGTTGCATTTTCCCCTGGACCAGAGCTGAGGGGAGCGGGTGGTGCATGGTGAGAGGGGTCATCTTTTCCCTGCCAAACTAGGAGCCAGCCAAGCCCACCAGCTCCACCAGCTCTGGGGTGCAGGGGACATCCTGCTGGGGGGCACAGTCGCCAGCTGCAAGCCCCTCGTCCCAGCCGTACTCAGGCTGGGTGGGGCACCTCCCAGAGAAGCTGCGGTGGGGACCCAGGGAATCCCCCAGCCAGGCAGGGGCAATGCCAAGGATGCCTGTGAGCCCCGCGCCCCAGCGAACTGGGAGCGGGGGGAGGCGGTGACAAAGCAGACCTCTCTTAACCAGCTGCTGCCTCCAGATTGACAGACCCCCCCACTCGGCCCCTCGGGCGGAGGACTCGGATCCGTGAGCAGTCCCGAGGGTGGGGGCGCTGCACTAAACGCGCGGAGGAACACATTCGTGGTCTCCGACTTTCAGTCCTGCCTCTCGAGGGCCATTCCCTGAAAACGCGTAACCTGGGGCGTCTGGGCCACGTGACCCCGAACAAGTTAGGCTCTGGCTGCTGTGTGTTGGTTGAGTTAATGAGTTAAAGCCAGAGGCTCGCTGTATTTACTTGGTCACTAGCTTGCAACTTGCCTGGGGCCGAGAGCTGGGAAAGGGATTAAAACCAGGCTGAGCTCGGCTGTAAGAATTTGGCAAAGAAGAATGCAGCCTTCACTCGCTTGTGGTTTTAGCGGTTTGACAGTCATTTGCGTGTAGTTTCCCACACGGGTGCTTTCAGGGAGGTCTTCGGGGCTAAGCTGGGACCCAAGCTGCCTCTCCTCGTCAGGGGCCCCGCCCCTCAGAGCTGTTGTGCTGTGGATGCAAAGTCAAAGCCGACCTGCCAGCCTCTGCAACCCAAACATCGCCATGCCAGGAGCGGGGGGTGGGGGGATGGTGGGAGGGGCAGATGCAGGAGGGGTGGCCAAGGGGCCCCTCAGGGCCGCGCGAGCTGACCACATGCAGGGGCCAGAGAGCGAGCAGACGTCACAGGCAGATGTGTCGGCAGCCACAGGGAGCATGCTGGGGGGTGGGCAGCGATGCAAATGAACATGAACTCCAGCCCCACCCTGTGAGTGTCTGTGTTCAAGGGCCATATAGTCCACCTGTCCCTCCCTCTCAGCTCAGGATGCACCAGTGACAGCCACAGCCTGTGGGCGAGGAGGTGAGAACCCCTTTACCTCACCAGCAGCGCTTGGGCATAATCCCTGCCCCACAGAAAGTGGAGTGGGATCGGTGACCTAGGGACCCTCAGAGACCAGTGGCAAAGACTCCCTTGGGCAACGCAGGGACTACCGTCTGAAAATAACAGGAGGGGCTCGGTCTCTCCTGCTCTCACACCTCAGTGCACGCAGACTGAGGACAGGGTCCTGGTCACAGCCTCTGTCCACAGGGACCTTCGAGGGACCGCATGTGTGCCAGCCCCTCTCTGTCCTTTATCCAGGGGCTGCGGACTTTTCCTGTGAAGAGCTGACTCTGAGGCCTGGTGGGCCACGTGACCTCTGCTGCGGCCGGTCAGCCTGGGCCGCCACAGAGCGAAAGCCTCTGCAGGCCACAGGAAAAGGAGCCTGGCCATGTTCCACTGTACCTGGACCTGCAAGACCAGGGCTGAGGTCGGCCAGACTTGCTCTGATCCTGAAAACCTGCCTGTCCGGCACCTTCAGGCCACAGGGTTCTGCCTGGCACTGTCCTACAAGCTGTGTCACCCCAGGATAGACCTAAAGCTGTGGCTGTGATACCTTGCGCATCCTGCAGCCCCTGCTGTCCCCACAAGAGGGCGCTAGCCCCTACCAGCTGGCCCATTAGGCCCACTTGCCTCCAAGAACCCGGCGCCGGGAAGGGGGCCTGTTCACCAGGCCACCGCTGCGCCTGGGAGGATGGGAGGCCTGGCGCACAGCAGTGCGCTCACTGGTTGTGAAGGCGATGGAGGAGGGGAGGCTTGGCCACGTCAGCTGTGTGGGGGACACGCTCACAGACAGGATGGGGGAAGCACCGCTAGTCTAAGTCAGTCTTCTTACCAAAAGGATTTGCAAGAGCGTTTGTGGCTCAGGACCTAAGGAACTTGCTACAGGGAAGTGAGGTCAGAGGTCAGCTCAATCCTGAAATATAAAGGCAGCAAACCGGGTCACACGGAGGCGGTGCCATCGCAGGGAGGAATGGGTGCTCCCCCCGCCACCTTCCCCTGCACCCGGTCTCCCTCCACTGGGACGGCACTGCCACCCTCCTCCGGCCGAGGTGAACTGCCATGGAGCCAGGTCTGGAAGGACCGGCGACCGCTCCAGGTGGGGAAGTGGGGATTCTCGCGGACAGAGGAGCTTCTGACTTCCGGTGGATACCAGGTGGCTGGTGAGGGTCATGAAAGGTGGCCGAGCCCTGCACTGCTTGTAGGAATAATATGCCCAATGTTCCCCTCTGGTGCTGGGGAGCGGGGGCTCGCCCAAGCCTCCGAGGGTGGCCGGACAGAAGATGCACAGCAGCCACTTGGACTCCTGCCAGAGCCAAAGGACTCCAGGCCCTAGGCCGCCCACGTGCACGGGGACAGCTGGGTTCAGGGTCAGGCCTGGTCTCTCCCATGGCCTTCCTGAGCTCCTTAGCCCCTGGCAGGAGGGGATGGCCAGGAAATGCGGAGGGGTGCCCGTGGTGTGCACTGGGTGCTGGCTGGGGAGGGGGTCAGTCCGATTCTAAAAATGAGACGCCGTGCAGCTGCAGCCGCCTCAGGGCTCTGCTGAGCAGAAGAGATGAAAAATGACCGTGGGCTCCAGGCTGGGAGGGGCAGGGGCGGCTGCCACACGGACGGGCACGAAGCAGCGCGGTCTGCCCCGGGTGATGGATTGGTTTTGTCATGAGCTCCTTGTGTAAGTGAGCAGCTGATCTGCTCCAGGCCCTTCCCTGGCGTCTTGCCTCTTTTCTCTTTTCTGTGGGGGCAGGGGTGGGTGTGCATGTGCTGGGCTCAGCACCATCCCCTCCAAGGGCCCCAAGGGGCCTGTCTCCGGGGAAGGCGAGCCTGTGTGAGTACTGCCAGGGCGGGAGGGACCCTGGAACGAGCGGACGTGGAAGCGCTCAGGGCCGTGCAGCTCGCAGGGCGGGCCCGCCTCCCGGCCCCCGGGCCTCGCGTGTGGGGTGAGACCGCAGGGCCCCGGCGGAGTGCCGAGCGTCCCAGGGCAGCGAGGCGGCCTACCTCTGCTCCTCCTCCAGCTCCTCTTTGGTCATCATCTCCTTGTACTGGTTCCCCCGCAGCTTCCCGGGGCTGTACCGGAAGGAGAAGGCCTCTCCTCCTGCGGAGAGGGCACCGGGTGAGAGCCAGCAGAGGTTGGGTGCTGAGCCCCTTCCTACAGGTGGAGTCCCCTTCCCCTTTGTGAGTGTCAAAGGACCATCTCGGCCAGAGACCCTCTGGTGCAGCCTTGGCCTCAGGACGGGACCCCCCGCACCTGCACCTTGAAGGTCCTCCCACACCCCTCCGTCCCGTCCTACTGAGGCATCGCCAGAGAGAAACAAACGACCACTGCTGGAGTCACACGGCTCCGGCCCCTGCACGGCCCCCTCCCGGGGCCAGGCTGAGCCACCCGCAGGCTGGCTGGCTGCCAGGCCTGTGTGCCCGCGTCAGGCGCCCCCGTCACTGCGGTGCTACCCACAGCCAGACGGAGGGCGCTCGTCTCCGGGGCGCAGGCCGCGCTGAGGCATGGGACACCCTGCAGGGAGCCTGGGCGCCTCTCCTGCCAGGGTCCCCCGTCTCTCGGACTTGGGGCGCATGCCCTGCAGTCCAGGGGTGTCGTGTTGCCAGGCTCATCCTCTCCACGCCACAGCTGCCTTCGAAAGCACAAAAGGGCAGCTCTTGAGGCCTGAGGAAGGGCAGCAGGGGGTCTGGACGAGGAAAGTGGACACACGTGGTGTGGAGCAAAGGCAGGCGCCGGGCACACAGGCCAGAGGCAGGCGGCGCATGCAACCGCGGGCTGCAAGGGCAGAAGAGACCGAGTTTCCACGTGGAGAGAGCCTTTTGGGGAGCCACGGCCTTAGGGCTCCTCAGCCTGGCGGGGGCAGGGCCCAGGGCCTCTCAGCAGCCCAGGGACCGGAGCCCAATGGCTCGTCTGAGCTCCTCCGCATCAACAGCGGAAGAGCTGAGTAAGAGAGCCGCAGAGACCAGCAAGCCACCCTCCCACACGGACGTGTTCTTTTTCAGTCCTGTCCCAGAGGGTTCACCTCTCTCACTCTGGTGTCAGGAGTCCCAACCACTTCCACGTCCTGCCCGCCAGGCCGTCCGGACCCCCAGCTGCCACCCGCCCCACGCGATCAGATAGGCTGATGGGGCCCGAAGGGAGGAGGAGGCCTCTGCCTCTCGGATTCTTGTTTTTTCTGGGCCAAACCAAGAGGGTTCTGGATGCAAATCGAGAGCCCAGCCATTGTGCTGTGGGGGCTGGCCGCCTCTCAGCAGCGCCTCACGCGGGAGGAAGCTGGCCCTGGCGTGCATACCGCTCCCCGACCCCTCCCCAACCCGGGGGCCGAAACCGCTCATTTGGGAGCAGCTACCCCTTCTGCGCCAGGGTCCACAGGTCTGCGTTCACCCACAGACGCTCTGCGAGCACTGTCCTAGGTCCCAGGCTGAAGCAGTGGGCGACACAGCGAGCAAAACAAGAGGAGTAATTAACACGCAGGCTTTACAGCTGGTCACGTGTGCTGGCCTCGGGAAGAACCGCAGCGGGGGTGGGGGCCAGGGAGGGCTTTATAGAGCCAGCCAAGCACGGACGCCTGGGGGTGGAGGGCCAGGGACGGGGATGGTGGCCTGGGGTGGGGGGCCCTAGGGGGCCCAGCTCTTCCTCTGGGTGAGATGGGGCCCTGCGCAGATAGCTGACCCCCACTCCCATTAGCCCACTCTTCCCTCCAGGCTGAGCTCTGGAGCGGGCCAGGGGCACTGCTCCTTCCGTGCCCACAGGCTCAGGAGCTGTGAGCAGCACAGGGTCTGGGGAGCCAGATCTGGGGTCCAGGAGCTCTGCTGAGCGCCTCGGGGCCGCTGTTGGAGGGCCAGGGCCCCGGGAGTCACCCCGAGCTGCAGGCTCTGCTGGGCTGGCTGCCAGGGCTGGCTCTGGGCCTCCGCAGGAGGCAACGAAGCCAGCTCACCTCCACGTCAAGGTCACTGTGTCGCTGTCTCAGAGAAGCAAAACGTTGAAAGTGCTGCCAGCTGGGCTCCAATTTATGGGGCAGGGCTGATCAGTATTACATTTTCTGGCCAGAGAGACTTGAAAAGGCTTTCACATAATCCCTTGCGTGTACCAAGCCACGCACAGCCGTTTCCAATTTTGCCAGACCAGGCGGGTTCTGTGTTCAGCCTCTGGGGAGGGCGGGCTTCCTCTTGCCCTCCTCCTGAGTCCCCGGAGTGCCCATGGGGCACAGTCGTTAGCTGGGGGCTGCCTCGGAGGGCCCGGCAGCCCGCCCCTGCCATCTCCTCCCAGCCGGGCCGCAGACCTCCCCCTCCTCGGCAGGGCCGGCAGGAGGTGGCTGGGGTGGGGGCGTCCAGGGCAGTCAGGGAAGGAGGGAGGCCCAGGGACTGGGCCCAAGGCCGTGGGTCGAGCTCCAGAGAGGGGTGCACTGCCTCCCCTTGTCCTGGCCCAGGGGCCTCCAGTAGCCTCAGCTTTGCTCCCTCAGTCCCCAAGTCACTAACGGGGCTCACTAACGTGGCAGAGACAGACAGACCTTGGGGCCACAGTTTCTGCAGACAGTCTGGGAGAACCAACAGCTGGGAGGGAGGGCCCCTGGAAGGGGCTGCTGTCCCTTGCACCCACAGCCCCCTGCCCTCCCCGTCCCCCTTCCTCTGAGGCCAGGTTGACAGAGCAGCCGGCCCGGCCCGGCCCCACCCACCCAAGGCTGGCCTTGGTTACTGCATTCCTGCAGCCCTCTCTCTCCACGCTCCTGCCAGCAGTCGGCTTAGTCACAGTGACAGCCTCGCCTTTTAAAAATTATGAAATATTTCAAACACACACAAAGGTACTGCAGTAAGCCCTCCATGTACTTGCTATTAGATAAACAGATGTTGACATTTTGCTGTTTTTTGCTTTACGTTTTGTTTTTTGTTTGTAAAGAGAAACAAAACATGACAGATGCAGCAGAAGCCGCATCCCATGTTGGGTTCCGTCGCTGTCTGCGCAGGGACCGGCGCCCTGGGTGGGTGCCCCGGTCAGGTTTGAGTCAGTTGCGTCCTCAGCATTCCTGGTCACGCCCTGTCTCGTCTCCCGGCCGCCTGGGACCTGGTGGTCAGGGAGGCCTGGCTGGCTAGCTAGGGCTGCTCAGAAGTGAGGCATCCCTCTCCCGGGGCGCTTGTTCCGCAGGAAGCCGGGCCAGTGGCCTTGGGCTCTGTGGAAGGGGTCGGAGAGACCTGGGGAGGAACGGGAGATGCCCAAGGCCGTGCCCCGCGGGGAGCGGAGAGGCTCCTCGGGAAGCAGAGGCGCGGGGTGTCTCTCCGTTTTCAAGTCTCTCCGTTTATTCACGAGATGGGCACCTGCGTTCGGACACAGCTCACATTTTATAGGTGGAGAGGTGGAGACTGAAAGAGCCAAGGAGGGGGACGGGAAGTGGCACAGAAAGGCCGTGTCGGCGGAGGGGCTCCGACCCGGGCATCCTCGAGGCTGCGCGGGGCTCGACGTCTCAGCCCCTCTCCCTTATTCTCGCCCCATCCCTCCACTGCCCTGTACTGCCACTCGGGTCCTCAGCAGGGGACCGACCCCGAGGGCCCAGCGCAGCCGTGGGAGGGGTGGAGGCGTGTGGCCTGGGGACGGGGCGCACTCACCATCCTCTTCCTCGGGCTCTGCCGGGGTTGTGTCCTCCTCGCAGTCCTGTTCCTGTTCCTGCTCCTGCTCCTCCTGCGGGACAAGGAGCATGTGGTCAGTGCCAGGAGTGCAGGATGGTTAACTCTCCAACGCCTGCGCCCTGGGCCCACCTGCAGGAGGGATATCCCACGGCAGCGTGGGGGCCGGAAGTGAGTGACCGCCCGGGCGAGGGGGCAGGACGTCGGGGAGAGAGGAAGGGACCGCCAAGGGCCAGCCTGACCATGAGCGTGTGCGGGTGGATGGAATGGGGACCACGGCCAACAGCAGGGGAAACGGTGACATCGGCGCACACGCCGTTTGGCAGGGCGAGGGGGAGGCCCCAGGTGGAGGGACGGTGTGTTTGTCCTTGTGCCTCAGTCCCTTCTCCAGCTGGACACTGGTCAAAGCATTTGGGTGTCATTTTGATAAGTGGACTGGGGGACCCATGCCCTCACTAGAGTGAGGAACGTGGGCGGCTTCCCTGAGGCCAGAGCTGGCCGGGCCCCCCAGAGAAGCTGCAGTTAGGTCACAGGCTCCGTCCGCCTCTGTGTCCCCTGACGTCGTTTCTGTCCCTAACCGTCTTCACCAAATCGGAGCTCTGCTTCCTTCAGCCCGGTCCTCTCCCACACAGACACGTTGAGCAGATGGCTGGAGGGGACACCCCAGAACGGCCTTGGTGGAGGGAAGGAGTGCTGGGGGATGAGACGCGCCAGCTGCTCCAGCTCCTGGGGTGGGAGGGTGTGGCGAGGGGAGCGACGACCAAGGAACCGTGACTTCGAAGCCCAGCGGGCAGATGCGGAGACACCTGCAGGTCCGAGGCGGGGCGGGGGCATGAGCCCCAGGGGGCTGCCGCCCTGCGGAGTGGGCTGCACAGAGGACAAACCCAAGGCTGGGCTCTTAGGGCTCCGCCTCTGGGGGTCCGGTAGGCCCGCTGGGGTGAGGCTGGCAGCCTCAGCAGGAGCACTGAGCGGCAGGCAGGCGCCAAGCTAAACAGAGCGAGCTGAGCTGAGAGGCAGTGTTCGCACAAGCCCAACAGCTAGGGGCTGTCTCGCTCCTGGCCCGCACAAAACGCAGTCGGGGGGCGGGGTGCTGGGCAGCAGACCACGCTGGCTCTCCTCCCCCGGGCACGGCACGCTGCTCTGAGCGCCGGTCGGCCCCTGGGCCTCCGTGTCCAGCGCCTCCCGGGTTTTGTGCCGCTCTGGGGGAGCCGCCATGGAGACACGCCTTTGCCTCAGCAAACCCACTTCCAGGGGTGCTCTGGACTGGAAAACCGTCTTCCTGGGCCTGCATACAATGACTCTGATTGTGTGTAGCAGAAAACAAAACAATACAACTACACGTTTATCGTAGGGTTACATACATTATAGTTAAGTATGTTTGGGTAATACGTTCACCAAAACAGTGAACGTAGGGTTCACCGTTAAGTACGTTAGGGTTAAATATACTGTCGGGCACACAGCCCATGCAGCACCTAACATGCAGAAGGAGGCAGCCTGACAGAGCGACATGAAAGAGCATCAAGACAAGTCCCCAAGAGGGAACAGAAGCAGCAGCCGGTGGGAGGGAGGCAGCCCCCAGTGCGAACGTGAGGGCGGAAGTGCTCGTATATGCTCATCAACGCAGAGAGCGTCTTCCAAGGATAGCAGCTACCCCCAGGGACGGAAGGGCAGGCTTTACTTTTCATCTTACACATTTCGGTGTAATTTGGATTTTATAAATATGCATGAAGTACTCTACCGATTTTCAAAATGCTATATATGTGGTCTCTGAACAGTGAGATGGGGCCGGTATATATTTTTTCTTTTCTTTTCAGTAGAGAAAGAGACAAACAGCCATTAACCTACTCAGGGCTGGGCCCCGGGAAATAGCTAAATACCGAGACTAGAGGGGAGGTCAGTTCTCCAGTTCCGTTCAAGGAACATGAAGATTAAAAAACAAAATAACAACAGAACCCAGCACAGTCTCTGCCCTGGGGGAGCTCGTGGTCCCTGAGGAAAGAGAGGCACACAGGTGGGTCAAAAGCCACGGCAGACCCTGTCATCCCACAGGGACCCGGCGTCCGCTGGCCGGACGGCGCCCTCCTGGGAGGGGCTGGTCTCCGTCTGGACTTCTCGCCTGGCTCTTGAAGTGCGGTGCTTTCTAAACAGGGCGTGACCCATTTGGCGATGGCCACTATTATTTTTTAAAATATGCAGCCAGTCTTAGTGCCGTTTTAAACTTTAACAACTTCAGAAGCATAAATGCTGCAAACATACCAAAAAATGACATTTGAAAGGTTATTTACATGTTAAGTATAGCGACGTTTCTTACTCAAACTCATACAAGACACCACCTAGTGCTGTCTGACCATAGTTGGTTTTCAGACTCTGAAAACAGGTCCATGGGCTGATGATGGTCCGCAGCTGAAGGGGCTGCCTTTGTCATTTCAGCCCCATGAGGACCGGACGCACATGTGGCAGTTTGGGCACGGGGCGCTCAGGAGAGGTCGACCGGCTCTCCACGGTGCCCGGGGGAGGGGCTTCCCCTCCCTGCCAACCCGGCCAGACCTGGCACACACAAAGGATTAGAATGAAAAACTTAGCATTCAAATGTCACGACACTGAGTGTAAAAGGCATTTAAATAAGTAAATATTCAACGGATGTGCTTTGTAGGTTTGTAGCATTTACACTTCTTAAGTTATTGAAACTTAAAACTGCACTAAGGTTTTGAGGGCACCCTATACCCTAGAATTGAATTAAAGGCAAATAGTGTGGTGTGTATAGGAGAGGCAGAGAGTGTTTTACAAATTCTGGTGTGGTTCTGTCACTTCAGATACACAAATTAAAATCAGTTTTTCATTGTGAGACTTAATGATGTTGAGGACACACTGTCTGCACAGACACCCCCTCCTTCCAGAGGGTGTCCTTGGAAGCCTGTGGTCTCAGGGCGAAGTGCCAGTTGGGGCAGTGAGACCCTCCCCCGTCCACACACCAGCAAGTGGATGTGACCCGGGGCCCACCTTCCCGTGGGGACGAGGGAGACACGTGGAGAGGCCCCAGAGGCTGTTCCACCCCTGCCGTCCTGGGGCGTGGGCCACTCAACTCCAAGTCCTGTCTGCAGCCGCCAGCGAGTCCCGACCACTGTCCCTGTCCTCTCACACGCCCCTGGCAGGCCCAGAACGGCGCAAGCGCCCCGGGCTGGGGGAGCGGGGTGGTGCCGGCCTGTGTCAAATCCCAGCAGGGCGGCGGCTTTGAAGGTGCGCTCCAGGGCCCCACGTTTGTCTGGGTCACTCACTGGGCTTTCAGACAACATCCTAATAATGGGAAAGATTCCATTATTTTGAAAACAAAAGTGCTAGTACTGGCCATAGAGGCAGAGGGTGGGTTTCAGAAACCAACTGAGGCGAAGGTGGAAACCCTCCTGGGAGACGTAGCCCGCAGCCCGAGGCCAGCGCTTCCTGCTTCAGAACCGTGGGCCCAGGCGAAGTGGGGATGGGGGGCAGCCCGGGCCTGAGAGCGAAGGGGGATGGGGAAGCCCGCACGAGTGCCGGGGCTGCGTGGCCTGGCCTGCACCTCTAGGAGCCGTCGTTAGGGACTCTGCCTCCGCACCGTCTGACCTCGCGTTCCATCTCTGGTTCTCTGGCTCATGCAGTTTTGCACGTATGTCTTCAGGGACACCTGGTGCATGTAAGCCACACAGAGGAGTCCTAGGAAGGAGGCTCGGCTGAGCCTAAGGGACCCAGGGAAGGCCTCGGTGGGGACAGGAATGCTGAGCCGGCTCTGAGAGCGCGCCAGGCACGGAACACCGCGGCTTTTCCAGGGACTCTTGGGAGCCTTGTGGGATGGCGGGGCGAGGCGGGGCCAGGAACGCAGGGAGATCTGTGAGGAGAGGCGGTGAGGGACCACCGGGAGCTTTTACACGGGGAGAAACGGGACTGGAGCTGGGTGGTGGAGCCGCACGTGGGACCATGTGGGCAAAGGGCAAGCTCAGGGGGGCGGGAGGAACTCTGAGAAGAAGGGTCAGAGCTGAAGGGAGAGATACAAGAGGCTGAACTGAGGCGCTGACCTAACCCGGCCCCCAGGCCAGCCCTCAGGGTCGCGCGGCCCCAGCCCCACTTCCGGGCTTGCTCTCGCCTGGCCCGAGGGGCAGCCTGAACCCAGCCGCTGCCCGCTGCCCGGAGGGCTGGCCGCAGACCTCACAGGAAGGCCGTCACTGCCGAGCACATGGATGCCCTGGTCACAAGTGACGCGCGGTACCCACGTGTTACTGGCTGAGTCCCGTCCCTCCCCAGGTTCATGCTTAGGGCTGAAATCCCAGGACCTCAGACTGTGAGTGTATCTTCTGAAAAGAATTCTTATAAGAGTTTATTTTAGCCCAAACTGACGACAATTGCCTGGAAACGAGATCTAAAACGCTCCCAGACTGTGGCTGAATTTGGACAGAGGGTCTTCAAAGAAGTAGTTGAGTTAAAATGAGGCCATGAGAGTGGGCGCCGATCCAATCCAACCGGTGTCCTTCAAGGAAGAGGAGACTGGGGCACAGAGAGACACCAGGGATGCGCCCGCACCGAGGAAAGTCCATGTGAGAACACAGGGAGAAGGCGGCCGCCCCAAGCCAAGGAGAGAGGCCTCGGGACGAACCGCGTCTGCCGACACCTCGACCTCCGTTCTGGAGGATGAATTCCCATCGCTGGAGCCGCCTGGTCAGCGGGGCGCCGTCACGGCCGCCCGGGCGAACTGCTACACCGCGCTCCGCTGACCGGGTGTCGACCAGCGTGGCGCCCGCTGGGAACTGGTGACACTTTGAAGCAGACAGCCGGCGCCGTCTGGGCTGGTCCCCATGGCAGGCCCGGGCCAAGTCCTGTCCCCAGTCACCGCGCTGACCCGTCGCGGCTTCTGCTACTGGGATGGTGCCTGAACTCCACGTGTACGGCTGTTTCCTCCAGGGGAGGGGGCGGGGGAAGCGCCTTCTGTGACATTTCCACGCTGCCGCAGGCCCAGTACCTCGGTCCCTCAGGGACGGGGGGCGGGGGGTGGAGTGGTGGAGGGGCAGCCAGGTGGCTGTAGGGCACAGA